TACTGCGGGCTGTATTCAATTTTAGAGAGCGCTACTTTTTCTAGCAGCAATGTACATGACAATTACCAGTTGCGGCTACAAAGTGTACACCTGTTGATCACGCATGCTTCTTCGGCAGTCTATGTCTTAAGCCCCATGTAAGCCTTACACCGCAGTTGCGCATGGTCAACTAATGGAGGGCCCCAGTTCACTGTATATGTCAATTAAGCTGCATAGAAGCAAAGTACCCCACAAAAAGATTTGGCCTAGTGCCTCCCATATACCTGCGTGAAGTTTTGGAATTGGTAGAGAAAAGATCCCTAAACAAAGCGCATCTTCAGAGGGTTGTAAGTGAACACAGGCTGCTGAGGGGTTTTCACAATGAAGCCGCTGTAACGACAATATTTGTTGCTTACGTTTCTGTTTCCCTACAAATCATATCCCCTATAAAATACGTTAAATTAACTCGATCTCTAATCAAGCCCTTTCTTTGTCCCTGCCTGGAATTCCCATGCGTGGAAGAAGCTGCCCAGGAAGTATCCGCAGGCCTTCGGAAGCAAGTTGTTTCAGATCTTCCGTTTCCTGAAGATGGATCTACCTCGGATCACTGTGCAAGGGGAAGGGAATGCCCTTCAAATGTTTGAGGAAGCAAGTTATGAACAAGACCCTTGTACGGATGCTGCGCTTCGTGAGGTAATTTTCTACTTGAGGGGGTGTACAGGCCTGCAGATTCCCCCTGACTGGCGCCCTTTAATGCCAACTTGTCTCTAGATGGTGTGTGCCTCTAGTGAAAGTGGGTTGCCTGGCGGCCCAAAATTAGGAATGCCAATGGGGGTGCAATGACCATGCCCTGCGTGGTGCACTATAGAGTATACCATGGTGCTGCATGCAGGAGTGCGAAAGGTGCATGACCATGCTTTTTGCTACTGCTTAATGTGCATGAGCAAGGTTCCCTTGAGGAAGGTCTGAGACTGCGCATACTTTCTGAGATCACGGCAACTCTTTGGATGCCTCTGCCAGACTGACTCCAAGCCTGGGATGAGGTTGCAGTTCTGCTTAGGGAATTGTGTTGGAAATGGAGTAAATGTATAGCTCTTGTCTCAGAGGTTAATGTCCTAAGTTGGGTTTTGGCCTTTGTTGCGTTCCTAATTACTTGCCATGGGTCTCCTTCGAGCAATTACAATGCAATCCTCTATATATATGTAGCATGCAATGCAGGACCCAGGATTCCGGGAAGTGGTTTCTTTTGTCAGGCTATATGGATCTCTTAGGGTTGGGCATAGCTTTTCTTGCTTTTTAAAGGGTTTTCACATGGTTTTGAGGATTCTTGGGGGGCTGGCGACCACATTTTCAAGGCCATGCCCAGAATTGTCAGGCCCCACGGCCGTAAATCTGGCTCCCACGCCCGTAAAATCTAGGTCCCACGCCCGTAAATCTAGGTTCCCACGCCCGTAAATGAGGCCCCCACGCCCGTAAATCTGGCTCCCACGCCCGTAATTCCCAGTGCTCGACCGTTTTTCCAAAAATGGCCATTTTCCACGACCGTAAAAAGGCATAAAAAAACCAAAAAAAGGCGTAAAATAACCAAAAAAAAGCGTAACAGAAACAGCTGGTTTTGGCCACAGAGGGGTTCAGGGTACATCTGGGCTTGCTGGAAATCTGGTCCTGAATTGCTTGATCCGCAACCATTGCAGGGGTCGGGTAGTTGCTTTGTAGGGAAGGCTGAGGCTTTCTTATAATTTGCTGTAGGATGGAGGCCTCTGCTACGAAGCTAGCGAAAGCCTTGCTGAGCAGAGCTTGGAGTGGCAGCTCCATGCAAGATGCTGTTGCCAACATGTTGAGACCTGCTTCTGAAGTCAAGCAAGAGCTGCCAGATGATTGTGATCAGCTGGCAACCCTCATTCAGGACAGCCCAAGTTCTCCCATACTTTCCTATATATACATGCTACATTGTACCCCATGCAGGTATATGAAATTTATTACGGGCCCAATCCTAAGAAGCAAACCCCTCAAAAGACATAGTCCTGGAAACCTTGCTTGATTTGGCCTCCCTTAAAAGGTGACTGCCGCACTAGCAGAACATGACTGAGATTTTTTACACAAACGACCCCAGAGATCCCCACTGCTGGCTTGATCATGTTACCTAGATAGGTTTCAGCTCATGCAGGAGCTGGAGAGGGAGGTGGAAGCTGAGCGAGCTCATCGTGGGCCTTCGGGAACACCCTCTTCCATGAGTACTGTTCCTGCTTCTGAGGAGGATCTACGCATGGCAGGGCTATCTTCCTCATCCCCATCAACCTCCTCTGACAAGACCTCCACCACGGCCCGTATGATCAAGATGGAAACTGTATTGCAATCTCTCCCTCATTTCCTATATAGCCTGTGTGTCCATATTGCGCAGGAAGACATGAGTGCACTTAAGCATGCATCTAAGGAAACCCCGAAGAAGGCCCTCACGGATGCTTATCAAATCTGCATTTCGGATGAGGAGATGGATGATACTGATAATGCATCGATTGCGTATTCGCCTGATGCTACTTTTGCTGCATTTGAGGGAACTCATGCCAGGAACCATGTAGGATCAAGTCTATTGAGTGCATGCAAATGCTATAAGGCCTTGCAGAACTACTTCGAGTCTATGCAGAGCAAGGCGAATAGCACCCCGAAGAAGGTGAGATCTCCGAGTCAAGCCAAGACTCCCGTAAGCAAGCTTCGTGCAAGCTCATCACCTCCTCTTCATCGTATGAGTGCCAAGACTGCTTCTCAGCTAGTTGCGTTAAGAGACCATGGTAATTGCTGAATGGATGGATGGATCACCTTTACCCTGCCCAATTACTTCAGTCAGACTATACTTTGGGTACTGCCCCCGCTCTATAACATTCTAGATTACGGGTGTAATCATATAAAACTTATATAAGATAATCCCTGCGACTCTTAATAGAGTGGGGGCAGTAACCAAAGTTTATATGTGCTCCGCAAGGATGAGCGTCAGGTTATGATGGATATGATCAAAAAGCAGGGGGAACTTATTGCTGCTCTACGTGCTGCTGCGCCAGCAAACCCAGCTGCTGCGGCAGCAAAGCCAGATGCTGCGCCAGCTGCACAGCTGGCAGTAACAGATGTTGCCCCTATAGTTGCCCCAGTCAGCAAAGTGCAGCCCCAAGCCCAAGCAACCCAGACCCTGGCGCTTACCTCGGGTGTCCCATCGAAGCCATGCCAACCCCAGCCCCAGACTACTTCTCCCAATGATTCTGAACAGGCAGGGTGGAGGATTGTTATTGTTAATTGAGTACATGGATATAAGGTGTGGAAGGCTTTAGAATACACAGGCATGCAGTGATATGAAAGGTTTGCTGGGGGGAGGTTGGGAGGCAGGACTTCATCACACAGCACCCAAATCCTAGGTAGTAGCAAAGGCACTTTAGGAAATGAACTAGCTTGGCCACAATCTATGTACACCCCAAAACCCGCTACCCAGAATGTTTATGCTGAAAAGGGTATTACTCATCACCTGAAAATCCTATAGTTTATTCTGTAAGAGCTTATGGGTTCAAACCTGGTGGGGTGTCTTAGATTGAGAACAGCTACAAGTTTCCCCCATGTGTTCACATTACTGACCCATATTTTACTTTGAATTTTTCATCGCCTACCTGAAAAGAATCCCACACACAGACCCAAAAGCCAACGCAACAAAATTTGAGCAGGCTCCGAATGGCATGGACCCGAAGCTCTGGAACAAGATGCGTGCCAAGGCCAATCGGCTTTGCTCCTACACCAAGAATGGGAAGCTGCATGTGTCAGAAGACATTCACAAGATGTGGCTTCAAACTGGGGCCGTCCAGAAGCACATGATTCAACTGATGGTCTCTGCTGATGGGAACAGAGCACCCTGTTTGAATTCAATTTCTCCAGCATTCCCTCTCAAGTATATATAATTGTGCTTTGCAAGTGCCCTGAATGGCTAAGGATTCTTTCCTGAGATCAGTTGAAGTGTTCAAGGAGACCCTCCGGTACAGGCAATCAGAGACAAGTGGAGGCTGGTACTCTGAAGCTGACCTCAAGAAGCCTGTCAGTGAGGGTGGCTGTGGATTCTTGCAGCAACTAGGCATCAATAGGGCAGACAGGTCATGATGGCAGCTTTTGTGCGCATGGATCCCATTCAAACACTTTAACTGTATATGGGGAATTGTTCATGGGTACCTCCAAACATGCATGCGCTCAAGGAGGAAAGCGCAGAAAGTTATGGACTGGTGCATAGCCAATCCAGGCTTCACGCGGTGCCCCAACTGCATGTGTGCATGGTTATAAGCTCGTCTTGGTTTCAGTGTTGAAGTTAGTATATATACACAACCGGAAATCGCAAACATTCTTCTTGTCATTATAGACTTTAGAAGGGGTGATTGGAGGTTCCCTTGCAAGCATATACTGTCAAGCACAGGCTAAAAAGGAATACCCAGATAGCACATATTCCCTTCCTTTCCCTGACTGATGTGTTCTGAATGGTCCTGACCCAAAGAATGCAAGAAGATAATTACCCTATATTCCCCTCAGAATTTCAGGCAGCCACTCCAATCAAACCAACCAGCCGTTGCCACGCAACATGTACAGGATGCTAGCTAGCTTACAGGCTCCTGGACCTTGGGCCCCTTAATGGTACATCAGACGGAATGAAACAGTAAATATATGTCCTATATGACCCCGCCCGGCAATGTCCGGCCCACCACACTTTTGTCCCGTAAAGTCCCTTATGTTTTAGTCATGCAGTGTAATCGTCTTCTGTCCCCGAAGTCTAAAAATTGCTACGTAGCCAATCAATGTGTTAGGGGGCCCCTTCCATATACCGGGTTATATTCGATACATAGGACTTCTACTTCGCCCTGAAGTTCTGACTGCTTAGGAAGAACAAGTATGACGCTGACGAAATTGAGTACCTCACCGATGTCCGAACAAGTGCATTGAAAGGCACCCGAGAATCTGAGAGCCTGCAAGATCGGACGCGAGGCTCCGGGATCGTGGACAGCATGGAGGATGCTGCAAAGCCTTCGGATTTGGATCGATGGGATACTGCTTCGATGGGGGCAGGTGCTACGAGTGTGGAACCTGGGCATGACAAAGCCACTTATCACAATCTAGATTCAGCTCTATAGTACCTTTATGTTTCTGTTAAAATTTAGAAAATCTGAGTTCTCAAATGCTCTGATTGAACGGTCAGGTCCTGGAGAGCATCCTTCGGCACATGCAGGAGTCAGTGAATGCTCGCGACAAGTTGAGCAAGTTTATGGAGAAGTTGGACCATGATGATGAAGGCGTCAAAGCGTGTCTTGCATCATATAGAAATGCCTTAATTGCAGTATACTTCAGTGTCTGGGCAGAAGCCACCTACGCTTTCAAAATTTGGACATGTATATTACATCACTCAGGGAATTGCCAAAGATGTCCGATGTGGTGATGAACCTGGGTATTCTCTACGATGAACTTGCCAAATTGCAGGCAGATGCTAAGACAGCTGACTTCTCAGACTCGCAGCTTGGCAAACAAATTCTCTGTAAGTACTTTGCTCTTGATCAACAAGCTTCATCAGTATCAATTAGCTTATCGCTTTGAGTTTGCCCTGAGGCAGAGGTCATATCTCGACAACAAGTGCCAAGCTGTCAAGAGACAGAGACTTGAACGCATGTTAGCCAATTTTAAGTGAAGACCATTCATGAGCCTAACCTGCAGAGCTTCTGGTCCCATGTGTGTGATCAGGATGACACTGGCAATTTCGATCGAGATCAAGAACAAGCCCCTTGGACAAGCCCCTTATACTATAACCCTTAATCGAATTTAGCCTGAAGCCCTGGACCCTAACCTCCCGAAACTACCCAAACCTTAAGCCCTATATAGCACCCTCCTAAACCTATAACAATTTGAATTCAATCCATGCAGTTGCTGCTGCCTTGGAAAGGATAGCCGCAAATTTAGGAACTCCATTCTAATCACATGCCATGAAGCCCTCCCGAGGAAGCTGAAGAAGAAGCCGTCGCCGAAACGACCCTCTGCTGAGCCCTCTGAAAAGCCCAGCCCTGCGAAGCCCACGAAGAAACCAAAGAAAGCCAAGAAGACTACTAAGTAAAACTACCCACTCCAACATTTTGAATTGTGATTCCTTCCCAGCCCAAGGTCTGTGACCCCTTTAGTCGAGTTGCCGACTCACGTTTTTGTCTTACATAGTTTAGGCTCAGATAAACCCGAAGGCCTCAAAGCTCTCGAAACAGCGCTGACCTTGTGCTGGCATGGAAGTTTGTGTTGCTGTGGTTGCTGTAATTTGTTTGCGCGGTGCTGAAAGCATTCCGCTCTGATCATGATGCGTGGACGATACACGCATGGATCTCAATTAAATTGAGGATCGAGGTTGTACGAGTTGTCTCATCTGCGTGATTTAGGCCAACCCCCAGTGCATGTTTACACTTGATCGGGTTTTGATATATATGGCTTATTTAGGAAAAGGGCTTGTGTGCCTTTCAAAATCATAATGCACGGGGCTACGCTGGGCCATGCTCACAACGCAGGCTTACAACTTGTGCCGTGGTTTGCGGGTTTGGGATGGAACGTCAATATGCCAGTCCTGGCGAAAAAGAAAGCACTTAATGCCTATCATGTGCTGTACAGGTAGCTGCATGGTGGCCCCATTGACGATATTCTTATAATGCTGCATGGGTCTCATTTGTATACTTCGACCCTATAGATTCCAATTCCTGATTGAGTCATGTTGTATCTTTTGATCTCTCAACCCTGAACCCTGTAAATCTAGCTGGTCCTTGAACTGCAAGCCATTGAAATTAAGTATACACTGACAACCCGCAGGTCTTTTCATGAATGAGCAGTCTACAGATAAACCCCCATACAATTAATGGCAATTCTCAATGCTCAGCCCTTGCAACCCTGAAGCCCCAAAAAACTGAAGCTGCCAGGTTTGGAAAGCGCTGATGTGAGTCATCGGGCCCACACGCTTGTGAAATCGCTGGGGTCAGGAGCTGCGGCCTTAGCGGGGCTGTGACTGTAGGCGAGCCAGGTCTTCATACGCAGACAACTCATGTCATGTGGGTCTGTCCCGTGCCATTCATCATGCACAGAAAGTGACAAGCAGCTGTTGACAATAGTGTTCGCAGCTGGATGCAGCTATCAATATGAGATGAAGTTCTCTGATGTGAGATTGCTGCTTTAGCTGTGAATCCTCTTCAACCTTATGTACCCCTAAATTGTAATGGGCCTGCTAGACCAGTTATCGAAGTGACTAGGTAGCATCTTTACTGCGTGCTGCCATGGCTGGAAAAAGGCCAAAACAGTCTTTGGAGGCCATCTTCCCCTGGGGTTCTGACACAGAGGAGGAAGAACATACGCTCCAGCGCACACCGCCTGCAGCAATCAACGTTGAGAATATTCGGCCACGTGATGATGCCCTAGCCCTAGGAAGCATTTCTTATGACCTGGCCCGTGACCATTCTCAAGCTGGCAAAGTGCTGGCTCACTGTCAGAATTGTATCCAGAAACTACGCTTTGCAACTGGGCAGGGTTCCCTGAAGATTGTGATCTACAAGGTTGGGATTACCCACGATTGCAGTACCCGCTTTGAGCTCTACAAATCCCACAATTGGACGAGGATGCTTGTTATGGCCCGCAGTGAGGACTTGGGATTCATAGAGATGCTTGAGGCGGCCTTGATCTCCCATCATAATCATCGTGTTCAATGCCGAAATGTCTTGATGGGGGGAGAGGGAATGCGAGACCAGGAACACAACCCCAGGTTCGGGCCTCCTTTCTACTGCTACTGTGTGGCTGCCAGGGCTGACCTGCCTAAGTGGGTCAGGTGAGGTCCGCTAACTACGTTGGATTGCTTTGGCAAGAAGCTGCCCCAGCTCTTTTAATTCAGGTGGGAAAGGCTATGGGGGCCTACTGGCAGATGCCTGGGCACCTGTTCGTTTCAGGTGTTAGTGTAAAATTAGTAATGCGTATGTGTGTATAGAAGAATGGACTCCGATTCTGCTCTTGCTCGAAAAAGACATGCATTGTGCAGTGACCGTCCCTGATTGCAACTGTGCCAGCTGATTTCATATTCAGCTTTGACCCCTTGTGCGCATGCCTAGTGCCCTGAACCCTATGTGAGCCTCCGCCCTGCCAAGGCCAGTGGCAAACACATTGCCAGCATCGCCAAGGCCTTTGCCGGGGATATTGGAGCTTGCAAGGCTTTGAAGGATCTAGCCAGGGCTCCCCTGTCTGATGCCGAGAAATATCTTCAGAAGGTGTTGACCAAATGGGAGCTCACGTTTGACGTTCCCATTACCTATCTGGATATTTCTGACAACTGCCGGATTCCCATTCTGAAGCCATCCGATTACATCCAAAAGCTGTGTGAGAAGGGTTTCCTGAACAAGTTGCTTGGGGGCTCGTTTGAAACCTGCACCTTGCAAGCATCCAACATATCATTTATAGGCAACCTGGGAGACAGTGTTTTATCCTATTTGGTCTTCGCGGTTTTCAAGCTACAAACCATGCATCTATAAGGAACCCATCTAAAGATTGAATTTTCTCACGCATAGACCCTAAACCCCAAATCCTACATAATTCAGGACTGTATCAATTTCAGAAGCTCTTTCCTGATCCCAGGTACTCATCGGCTTGAGGAATTCTGGGAAAGGTTCCGTGGTGAGGAGCCAGGCCATGAGGTCTTCACACACGATTTCCTTGATTTCGCACGTCTTGTGCCACTGTATGTTCACGGCGATGGTGGAAGAACATATCGTAGAGACGAGTTGATGGTTTTGCAGTTCCAGCCCATTTTGGGTATGGGATCTCGAGCCTCGAACCCCCTCAAAAGGTCTCGCGATGGGTCAGGAGGAGCCGGCGTGAACTTACAGGGACACTCGTTTACAACAAGATTCCTTGCAGGTGTGATGACGAAACAAACATACAAGAGCAATCCCGAGCACTTCGATATGTTTCTCAAAGTTGTCTTCGAAGACCTGGAATCATTGTACTACAATGGAATCAGCGTTCGTGATGATTGTACACTTCGATTCTTGGTGCTGGGGCTGAAGGGAGACTTGCCCTTTTTGACAAAGGCGGGGCATCTCAACCGAACCTTTATGAACATTCGAAAAGGGCCTGCGGGGCCCAACTCAAAGCCTTTGACGGGATGCTGTTGGATGTGCGCGGCAGGCAGCAGTGCAGTACCCTTCGAGGAGTTTACACGTTCTCCAGCTTGGTTGCAAACTGTTGGACCGAACAATGAACTTCCGTGGGCAACCATTCCCGATTTCATGGAGCACGTGCCACATGTTCTTGAGGACAAGGGGTCATTTTTCAAGCTGGACCTTCTGCACGTCTACCATCTGGGAATTGGTCGTGACTTTGCAGCTAGCTCCTTGGTTGTGGCCTTGAATCTCATCTACCAGGGCGCGATCCCCGACAGGTTGGCAAGCATGAACAGGCACTTGAAGCAATATTTGAAAGAGTCACGCAAACAGGTTCACTTTAAGCTTCTTACCCGGGATCTTCTGGGATACAATTCCGAGAGATCTTTTCCGGCAGGCCATTGGAACAAAGCCTTTGATACTCCTGTTCTGATTGAGTTTGTGGGGTGGCTGGTACGTCAAGACATCGCCATCTTCAGGTCAGAGCGCAGACTTCGGATCATTGCTAGTGCTTGCGATGCAATGTCCCGGTTCATGCGTAGCTTGCTTCGAGCTGGGTTATGGATGCAAAAACAACAGGCTGCTGAATGTGGAGAGGATGGGCTCCATTTCCTGCTCTGCTACAACAAGCTTGCAATTATTTCCTTCAACGCAGGCCAGTGTAGATACAACATGGTGCCCAAGCTCCACTGTTTTCATCACTTATGCCTGGACCTCCTTCACAAGTCGGTCTACCTGACATTTCTCTTGAATCCGCTGTCGCAATGTACATTCCAGGATGAGGATTTTGTTGGACGGGTATCCAGATTAAGTCGTCGGGTCTCACCACGACTGCAGTGTCTTCGGACGATCCAGCGCTATCTAGTAGCTACACGCTATGAGCTTCCCAGCGGAAAGTAGTGGGCCACCCTGAGCTATTTATAGAAAACCCTAAATTTGGATATAGAGGGTCTCTTTCCGAATGGGGGCTGAGTGTCCAGCGTGGTCACGACTCTCGAAGCCAGCGAGGCAAAGACATGGGATGGGCTTATTTCAGTCTTTGGCTTATGATTGCTGGGGGCTGAAAGATCCATTTAGGGTTAAGGGTTTAGGGGTTTAGAGTTTAGGGTTGATGGGGCTTGTGACGAAGGTCACAATTGAGGCCAAGTGTGTGTTCCTTGGTTGTGGGCTTTGTTTGGGGCAAAGGGTCTGGGGGCTTTGTAGGCTGTAGGGATCAGGGCGTCCTTCAAAACCTTACCAAGATCCATCTATATTGCACGTAGTAGGTATGCTGTCAATTTGTTATGGTGAAGTAGTTGGGCCATTGGATCACATGTGTCATGTTTGAGCTCCGAAGCACTTGTTCCTCAAAAGCTTCCCTTGAAGTGTCCTTTATAATCAAGCATGCCATCATAGGACTAGGTACAGCACAACCCACGCCCGTATTTTGGGGCCCTGGGGCATACGCCCGTAAATAATGAAATTAACTGGTTATTCTACCACAACCTAAAATAAGACGGTGTAACAGGCAGCAGGTAGGGTTTAGGGTTTTAGGGGTTTAGGGGTTTAGGGGTTTAGGAATTTAGGGTGTTTAGGAATTTAGCGTTTTGAGGGGTTTAGGAATTTGGGGTTTAGGGGTTTAGGGGCTTAGGGGTTTAGGGGTTTAGGGTTTGTGGGGTCAGGGCTTAAGGTACGTTCTCAGCCACAATCTGCATGCATTTATTCTCGCTGGGTATTTCAAAATCATGGGTTCCTTTGCGTGGTACAAGTGGTAAGGGGAGAGTAGGACCAGTTTAGGATTTAGGGTTTAGGGTACTAGCTGGGAGGCTGACTCTAGACCAACAACAGGGTGTTGGTGTTGAAGAATGTTAATGATCAAACTACTCTAAACCTAGACCCTCCACCCTCTATTTACCCATAAATACCCACTATTAGGGACCATATACCCCTGATTAAGGGTATAAGGAGGGTCCTGGAATTCTGATTTCCTTTACATCCACCTTCAAATATCTCAACCTTTAGCTCCTCAGAGGCTGCCCACCCTAAACCCTGAACCCAATAGGGTTTAGGGTTTGGGGTTTAGGGGTTTAGGAGTTTAGGGTTTAGGGGTTTAGGGGCTTAGGGTTTAGGATTCAGGGTTTAGGGCCAAAACCCCTAGACCCTCAACCCTAAACCCTTCTAGCCACCAAAACCCAAAACTCTTACCCACTGTAAGTGGGAGCCCTGTACGCTTAAACCTGACACTCCACAGAACGATGCGGCATTCCCCTGGTACACGGTTTAGGTTTAAGGGTCTAAGGGTTTAGGAATCCCTTCATGCTCACAATAAACGCCCCCTCCCCCACACCCCCAAGATTCAAAGGTCCACCCAGTCTGGTTGGTCTCTTCTGTGAAATAAAATGATATTAAGGGTACGGGAGCATGCTTAATGTGGGCCCATAGTTTCCACTGTCCTTCCATTCCGCTATAAAGCCCCTTCTGCATGGATGGGTGTTCAATGTGAATATGAAGGGGCTTTTCTCTCGGAAAAATTAATTTCAGGGATCCATAGCCACAGGTCAAGGCTGGCTTCTCACTAACTACGCCTTGGGCTTGAGGGTTTGAGTGGTACCCCCGGAACTCTGAATCTATAGATACGTGGGGATTCCCAAGTTTGGGGGGGAGTACCTTTTTGAGGGTCCCAAGAATAAGGATTCTCATATTTCGCGGTCATCTTGAGATCTCGCTATTTAGGACTTTTTCGCATCTTTACCCCTACTCGCACCCTAGACTTGCCACATGCCCCAATACTTCTGGAGGTTGGCAACAGGAGCCGTGTGTGTGAGAATGGCTAGTACTCTGAGTCTCTCGACCGTATGGCTGCCCTAAAACCTAAAGCTTGTAAATCCTAAACCCCAAACCCTAAACACAAACCCCTAAACCCTAAACCCCCTACCCTCAACCCCAAACATCAGGGATCGGCCTCCCTAGTAGATCCCTGTCCTGAACCCTGAACAGGATGTTGCGGGGCTTCAGGGCTAGGGCTAGACACCAAAGGCTGCAAGGTGCTAAGTCGCACCTTATGACCTTCTTGTATTTGTAACATGATATACCCCAACCTCTCTGAGGTTGAAATCATGGGCCGCTAGTATGGGCCCTTAATCCTGGGATCCTTATATACTTACTGTGTACCCCATACTATATGTACCCTTAGGGGGTTAGGGTGGGGTCCAGGGGGTGTTTGAACATGGGTGCTTAACCCACACATGATTCTGAAGATCTCTCATGTCCGAACCCAAAAAAGTGTTTAGTGCCAACCGCCACCAAACCCTAGATCCATCCTGAAACCCAAACCCTAATCCCTAGCCCTAAACCTAAAACATAGACCCTGAAACCTAAACCCAACACTGGATTGCAGACCTTGGACTCTAAACATCTGGTGACGACACTGGGCGCGAAACTCGATACTTCGGATGTCTTCCGGCGGCCTCGCGCATCTAGGATTTATGTTTTGGGGTTGAGGGCTTAGGGCTTATAAGGGTTTACAGCTTAGGGTTTGGGTTTAGGGTTTAGGATTTGGGTTTGAGTTTGGATTTAGGGTTTGGGTTTAGGGTTTAGGGTTTGGGTTTTGGGTTGAGGGTTTGGGTTTGAGTTTGGGTTTAGGGTTTGAGTTTGGGCTCAGGGTTTGGGTTTAGGGTTTGGGTTTAGGTTTAGGGTTTGGGTTTAGGGTTTGGGGCCAGGGTTGACATGGGATCACTTCCAGCTCGAAGACGTTTTAGCAGTAGCAATCTTAGCAGCAAGAGTGGTAGCATGAAAGAAGTGAGTATAGCAGTTGCAATAGTAGCTAATAAGAACGGTAGTAGACTACTACCGTTCCAACTAATGGTATATAGTAGTATATAGTCCTAATGAAACTAGCAGTCGTTGTATTAGTAACAAAAGAAGGGCCGGCTGCAAAAGTAAAGCGATATCACAATAATAGTATTGGTAATGCAAAGACCCTAAACCCAGGACAATTTCAGAAGTAGGGATCCCCTGTATATAGATCCGAAAATACGATGACCCTAAGTACTGGGTCCCCTCGCCCAGCACGGAAACCCGTCTGGTGTTGAAAACCACTGTCTAGGATTCACAGCTTCGGGGGGCTAAGCCCTAAGCACACTAAACCCATAGTCCCCCTTAAGTAGATAGAATATGGCTTTGGGTATATTAGAATAAGATCCCCATATACACCATAGTCTATCTACTTAAGGGGGATTATAGGCTTGCAGAGATGGGTTTAGGGTTTAAGGTTCAGGGTGAGGTGTAGGGATCAGGGCTTAGGCTGCAAGACCAAACCTCTGCACGCCGAGTCTTATGTCATACCCAATCTGTTTTCCTGTAGCGCCCAATGATCTAAGATCTTCAAGGCTAGGACATTCCAAGTTCTAGCTTTTTCCGGCTTCGCGCTTTATCTAGATAGTTTTGTAGTAAAATCAGGAGCAGCAGGACTGCACGATATGCAGCATAATTACTGACGAGTGTAAACCAGTAATAAACCCATAACCCTCTAACCCTACCCCTAAAATCTGAACTTCTAACCCCTGCTACTAAAACCCTAATCCCTAAACCCGGATATTCTAATCCGTGATTCTAAGCCCTACCCCCCAGACGCTAAGCAAAAGGGATTATCCTGAAATCCAAACCCCTGACACTAAACCCTACTCCCTAAGCCCTAAATCCTGCTCCCTAAACCCGACTCAATGAACCCTGAACCCTAACCCCTCAACCCTGAACCCTACTACATAAACCCTAAAGCCTTGAACCCTAAACCCCTAAACCCTGAACCCTAAACCCTAAAGCACTAAACCCCTAAACCCTACTCCCTCAACCCTAGACCCTAAATCCTGATCCCTAAACCCTAAATCCTAATGCCCTAAACCCAAAACCCCTAAACCCTAATCCCCTAAATCCTATTCCCTAAACCCCAAGCAAAAGGGACCGCTTGAAGGCTCGGCCTGTCTGGAAGGGAGCGGAGGATGCGCGACAGCTCTTCGAATGCCTGCGGGAAGACGGGCCGTCTAAGCTTGCTAGACATAAGGCTTAGGGCTTGAGGGTTTGGGGTCCAGGGTTTAGGGATTGAGGGTTTAGGGTTTAGAAGGTTTAGGATGGAGGGGTTTAGGATTTAGGGCTTGAGGGTTTGGGGGTTTAGGGCTTAGTTTTCAAGGGTAGCTGGCTCCATTTACCTACAGTTTATGGGTTCTACCTACTAACTGCTGCGAAGCTGTAGGTAGGTGGAGCCACAGGTAGGGATGTGGGGTGAGGAGCCTGGGGTGAGGCGTTAGGCGTTTATGGCACCCTCCAATGTGGTACCCCTTTGACCCCTGTGTGGCTGACTATCAGGTAGTTAGGGCTCGTATACAGGTAGCACGGTTGATACTAAACATCCTGCACGACTTTATAATACCATCATTCCCAAGGTATGAGGTACATATAGTCATGCAGGAGTTTTATACATCCTCGGAAAGGCCATCAAAGGTCTACATAGGCTGCCTATAAAGGCATCCATCTGGTAAAAGAACTCAGCAGGACCTCTTCTTGATCTAGTATCCCCAAAAGATAAAACTTTATAAGCTTTGTTTCCATCCCTATTGCCATTTGCTTCTCCCCTATTTGGGGAAAATGCCCTGAACCTTACACCCTAAGCCCTTAACCCAAACCTAAACCGTAAACCCTGAATCTTAAACCCTAAGCCCTAAACCCCAAAAGACTGTTGAGGCCTCAGCATTCTGCTCTCCCTTGGGGTTGGCGCTGGGCGGAATGGCTGAGAAAGTTGCGAAGCTAGCCAGCCTCAGGTTCTT